TGGTAATGTTGTCAACTTGCGAAGAAGAGTGAGACAGAAGAGAAGAAATTGTTGAATAAAGTCATTATTTTTGTTTTCTTTGCGCACAAAAAGTATTCTTGTAGCTTCATAAAATTGCGGTTGAACTACTGATGTCCAGTGTTGGGGGTAACTCATTACAAATAATGCGAGTTACGTAATCAGATTACTTTTGTCAAGTAACTAGTAAAGTAACACATTACTTTTTTAATTTACAAGAACATTTCTGAGTTACTTTTTCAAAAAAGTAATGCCAGTTACTTTGTTTTCCCATTTATTGACTGACAGCTCTCCTGTCCCCATATTGGGAGAAATCGGGAGTACAGAGGCGTTGTGTGCGCTGTGTGAACATGATGTTACTGTAGTTCTAGACTAAATGTGAATGTGCATTAATTCATCCCACTCACAAAAAACAGATTTAGTATTCATCAAAATGAATTAAAACAGTGAAATGCAAACTCAGAATATGACGCAAACCTGCAATAATTAAATATGTTAAATAACACAAATGTATCTAATCCCATTTTATTAACCAATATCTTTGCTGCTGACCTTTGATGATCCAGTTCAACCATACTAATAAGCAAAAATGACTTTAGAGAAACTAACAATTGTGCTTTGTTTTTTTATTGCTGAAGAGTGTTTCTTCTCCTGCGTTCTACTGTACAGACGTGAATTTACTTTTCCTTCAGCCTGAGGTTTATTCTTTAGACTTTTTGGTGTGAAAGGGCTTTTATATTTGCTATAAATAGAACTTTTAAATTAAAAACAATCAAGCCCTGCTTATATTTAAAAAGTAACGTGAAAGTAACGCAAAAGTAATATAACGCATTACTTTCCATAAAAAGTAACTAAGTAACGTAATTAGTTACTTTTTTAGGGAGTAACGCAATATTGTAATGCATTACTTTTAAAAGTAACTTTCCCCAACACTGCTGATGTCACATGGACTATTTTAACAATGTCCTTACTACCTTTCTGAGTCTTGAACGTGTCAGTTGCGTTGTCTATGCAGGGTCAGAACGCTTTGAGATTTCATCAAAAATATCTAAACTTGTGTTCCAAAGATGAACGAAGGTCTTTTGGAACGACATGAGGGTAAGTAATTAATAACAGAATTTTCATTTTTGGGTGAACTATGCCTCTTAACGTATTATTTAATTTTGGTTTAGAGTCTGCACGCCCTCCTGTTCCCAGTGGACATCGGGGTTCTCTTCCCCAAGTGCCATCTGGGTTCTCCTCAGTGCCGCCACCACTACCTCAAGGTCGAATGGGGCCTCTACCGCCTGTCCCGGGTCAATCCTCTGGTCCACCTTCTCATCGAGGTTCCCTTCCACCTACACCTCCAAGAGCAGTTGCATTACCACAAACCCCCGAGGGCCGTGGCAGTCCTCTGCCAGCCCGATCCACATCATTAGGCACCCTGCCACCGGTTCCTGCCGGAGGCCGTACTGGACCCTTGCCTCAACCTCCAGGACTCCGCAGCGCACCCTTACCACCTCCACCTGGAGGTCGGAGTGGAGGTTTACCCCCACCACCACTTAAAGGAGAACGTAGGGAGTCTTTAGCCCCCATTCCAGGAAAGAGACCTGGACCACAAATGACCGAAAGACGAGGTAGCTTTCTGCCGCCCCAACCTGCTGGGGCAGCTCCACCACCACTACCACCGGGTGTGAGGAGCGCACCCTTACCCCCACCTCCGAGAGACAACAGTGAATGTTTGCCACCTCCGCCTCAATCTAATATGCCATTACCTCCTCCCCCATCTGATTTCTTCCCTCCTCCTCCACCTGAAGACTTTGCTGATTCTGTGCCTCCACCTCGTCCATTTGAATCCAACTTTCCTCCCCGAAGCAATTCCTCGGGCTTCGCCCCTCCACTCCCTCCAATCTCAGCCAAACCCAGTGCAGGCGGTCCGCCTCCACCACCTCCTCCTCCACCTCCCGCTGCTCCTCCTCCAGTGAACTTTGGAAGCAATCCCTCATCTCCAAGTGGTCCGCCACCTCCAGCATCCAGCGGTGACGAAGGGGGTAGAGGAGCATTACTTGCCCAGATACAGTCAGGGATGAAACTCAAAAAGGTGAGTATCTACACTACCATTTTAATTTATAGTTAAGAATGAATGCTTTAACTGATCAAAAATGACTGTAAAGACTTGTCACAAAAATTTCTATTTCACTGAAAAAATGCAGCGCCGTTTCCACCAAAATATCAAGCAGCACAATTGTTTTCCACATTGATAATAATAAAAATGTTTCTTGAGACTGGAGTAGTGCATGCTGAAATTTAAGCTTTTCCATTACAGAAATAAATTAAATTTGTAAAATATATTATAATAGAAACGTTGTATGAATTTGTAATAATATTTCACAATATTGCTGATTTTACTGTATTTTTGATCTTGTGAACGGCAATGTAAATAATGTATTTCCTTGAAAAGATAAGGTCAAAGCAAGATCCAAGCACAAATAAGGTTCCCATAATGCTAGCTTCTCATCATTGATAATGTTATGCTTAAAGCATAACACTCTATACAAGCTATATACAGTAATGTCTTTTGCCCAGGTGGCCACCAACCCAGATCCACCTTCACCTGCCCTGGATACAGGAGAGGGAATAGTTGGAGCTCTTATGATGGTGATGCAGAAGAGGAGTAAAGTCATCCATTCATCTGGTAACCACTCAATCACTAGTGTTTTTTTTGTCATTTATTATAGTAATTATGAAAGGAAAGAAGTAGTACCTTTATATTATTATATACACAATATATTTTGTAATTAATTCTCAGACAATAAGTTGGTCTGCTGGAGCCTGCATACCTATTAACCTTTTACCTTATCTACCATATCTTGTAGAAGAGGATGATGAATTTGATGATGACGAGGACGACGATGAAGAGTGGGATTAATCCTGGTGTAATTGAAATACTTTCAATACTTGAACCTAGGCAGTTTTACATGTTTTGGAAGTTAAACAACACTGATCCAAAGCATTTTCTCTTCTGGCCAATTCAGAAAAATGCTGATAAATGGCTGATATTAAAATTCTAGTATTCCTAAACAAATTAAATTTTATTATACTTTATGTAAAATGGATGTTCATTTTGAGATTTGCTAAATATTACATTTAAAAGAGTTGCTTAAATTATATATATATATATTTTTTTTGTTGTTGTTACTTACCTTAAGTGAGCATTGGATTATGGCAAAGGTAATTAAAAGGTAATCTAATTATTAAAAAAGCAAAATATTGTACCAACATATCATGCATAGGTTCTCTTTCTAGTCTCAAGGGTTCTCAGTTTCTGAGATGTTTCAGTTGATGAAGATATCTATAACATCATATAATGTGAATCAGTACTGAATGTATTTACAATATGTAAATATACTAAAATGTGAATTGAAAAGTGAATCTATGACTCACAAATTATTCCTTGTTTATTTATTTTTTCCCCGTACAAGACAACATCTAAGAGCAAGACAGAGTATTGTAATTTACAACCAGACTATTCTACCGTTCAACTAAAAAAAGGACACGCATATTGTTAAATATTTCCAGTGTTAGATATTATCTGAGTGAACTGTGACATTTATATTCACTTGAACGATGATTGCTCAACCAGACACAAAGCACGAAATGCACAGCATAAAAGTGCTATTTCCTAAACAGTGTCAGTCATTTTGAATGCATTTAAATAAATATGACAACATATCTCATTTCTCAATCATGCAAAAATGCCCTCCACCCTTATTCAGTATCCTCAAAGACCATCCCATAAAAAAATATACAACTTCAAATAAATATATATTACAAATGGTGAGAAACAGCCACAGTCACACAGACATGAAGGCAAGTGAGTTCTTGCAAATGTTTGGTGCCATTATTAACCCAGTTATTAGAATCCATACATCTATTACTATTAAACATACATACAAAAATGATTTTGACAATTTCATAATCCAGGAGGAACATTAGAAATTGCACTGGCCCAATGACAAAGGGTTTAACAAAGTGGCTTTCTGACGACAGGATAGTGGAACGTTTTCAAAGCTTATGAGGTAATATCCTCTTTAAAGGTGCTTTATGGTTTATTGGTTGATTTTTTTTATGTTAATTAAACCCAGTATGTAATTACTGAATCCTGAAGGTCATTTATAGCTTAATTTGTGAGTTTAGTAAAAGTGTACACCTGTTTATAATACTGAAATGCAGTCAAATCACTGTGGCGAGTGGAAACGGTAAGTCCTAAATCAACACCGACTTTGGATCAGTGAATGAACAATGAATGTATGATTACATACAATGATCCCAAAAAGGACTTGGACATTTTATTTTTGGGGTGAATGTTCTTAAATTTGATAAAATATTGACCTGCCAAATTCCAAAACAACTGTGTTCAAACCATGAAAATTCATTTTGAATTATTTTTGGGGACCGTGTTTAAGAAATAACTATTTTAAAAAAACATTTTGAATGAAAATGTATTCATTTTTATGTTCAAAATAAATTTCAATCGTTAAAAAAAAAAATTTTTTTTTAAAGTAATTTCCAACTATTTGGAGCCACTGTTCATGAATGTATTAATTCAGTTAATTTGGTTCATTTTGAAAACATTAGTGCTGTCAAACGATTAATCGCATCCAAAATCCAAAAAAGTTTTTGTTTACATACTATACGTGTGTACTGTGTACATTTACTATGTATACATAAATACACATACATGCATGTATACATTTAAGAAAAATATGTTACGTTTATATATTAAATATATTAATATATAATAGAAATTATATGAATATAAATATATACATGTAAATACATGTACATATTTTGAAAATATATACATGCATGTGTGTGTATTTATATATACATAATAAATGTACGCAGTACACACACATATACTATGTAAACAAAAACTTTTATTTTGGATGCGATTAATCACGATTAATCGTTTTACAGCACTAGTAAAAATGCATCGATTTTTAAGTGTCCAACATTTTTACATTTTGAATAATGTAATAATTAAATCATTTTTAATTGTCTAAAAGTATCCAAATAAGTTTTTGGGCCACTGTTCATGAATTATCCGATGCAAGTACATTTAAATGAATACATTTTCATTTTAGGTCTCATTTTAAGTGCATCTTGAACAGTGTAAAAATGTCCATATGGTCCAAAATTGTCCAAATAATTTTTGGTGCCACTGCACAAGTACTAACCTATGCAAGCACACGAACTGCTCGGAGCAAGGTGACAGACAGGTAACTCTCTTTTCTTGTGCTCCTCACTCCCCACTAGCCTTCAGTGCTTCTGTGTGTCTGCGATTTGCACGTTTGGGGAGGTCAGCCTGTGAGTTTCCCCCGGCAGTCAGCTGCTCCCAGTAGGACTGGCAGTACTGCTGAATCAGACGCATTTCTGGCTCCAGCAGGAGCGCTGGGGTAGGAGCTGCAGGGTCCTGGTGACGGCTCCTCGATGCCTCTTCCTCCTCATCAGGGGTGGTGAGGGCTACAGCGATGTCCCGGTCCAGGATGCGCAAGGAAACACGAGCCAGCGTGTGTTTGAAGTTATTTTCTGTGGCCAGGCAATGGTAGAGACCTGCGTCTGCTTTGGTGAGTGTTTTCAGAAGAACCCCCTGAGGAGTCTTAAGAACCTCTCCCTCTCGATTCAGCTGTCAACAAAGAGATGTGTTAATGTTTTTGAAAGACCTCTCAAGCTCAACAAAGTTGCATATATCTCATTAAAATGAACCTAAAAGTTAAATTTTATTAGAAATAAAATAACTTTTCCTTCAGAAATCATTCTAATATGATGATCTGATGCTCAAGACAGATTTATTATTTTTGGCTGGTTGGTTGGTTTGAAATGAAGTAAAAGAATGCAATCATACCACTTTTCGTCTTCCCTCTCTCTGGTAAAGCCATTTGATAGTGGCCTGAGGAGAGCGCGGCACACACTCCAGAAATGTGCTGCTACCCTCCACGCCGAACTGAACTTTCTCCTGCAGTCTCCTCTCCACTAGTAAATACAGAAGATATTACAGTCATATGCTGTGTCCTATTATACAAATAAATCAGAATTAACTCATTATAATCCTACAGACTATTTGTTGATGACTGTTTTTGTTACCTTTAGCGTTGTAGCCCCGGCACTGACGCAACGGGTCACCATGTTTAACATCCTGCCTTCTGCTCCTCCTAAATTAAATAATACAAGATCAAACTCCATGTAATTTTACTGTCCTATTAATTGGGACTCACATAAGCCATTTAAGTGCAGTTTTAAAGAATTCAGGTTCTCTGACCTTTTGGTGGCTTGTGTAAAGGCAGAGCAGTTTTCTCCATCCCAGGCGCAGTAGGGGTCTCTGGCCAGGCAGCAGTCTGAACAGGCCTTTCCATATACTCCACAACGGTGCAAGGACATTTGGGTAAGACCTGCTTCTGAAGATGCATACAGTTGTTGCTGCAAAAAAAAAAAAATGTGTAATGCCGTATTGCTAAATGAAATCATAATTCTATATTTTCTGTAATACATCTTTAAAAATTACACTCTTAAAAGGTATTAAAATATGTCTTACCCTTTTGGCTGATATGTACATTGTTTTGACAGGAGCAGGTGTCTATAAATAGGGAATAGAAAAGCATATAATATTTTCAAATTGGTTGTTTCACACACAGACCTACATATATATACTTAAATGTCATTATTTATTTTTATTATAACATTAAAATGCTGAGGTCTGAAAGATATTTTTAAAAATGTATTTACCCTGAAAACTTCCACTTCCTCTAAAGTGAGCTCTTCCATTGTGGTGGGATCCTTGGGCAAAACTATAACTTTTTGGACTGTACCAAGATCTGTAGGATGACAGAAAAGTGATACACTGTCAACACAATATGTTTAACAAAACCAGAAGGTCTAGTTATGACATTTTGATAAAATGAGGTCTAAAAAATTATTAAAAAAAGAAACATATTCATGGATGAGTTGTTCACAACAAAATCTATAATATGCATTTAGGGCAGAAAGGGAAATTTTTATTTCATGCCGACTTTAACAACTAGGCTACACCACCCCAAGTTTAACAGATTCACGAAGAAACTTAACTAATGTCAGCATTAAATAGATGCCAGACTCACCTGTTCCCAGGAAGAGAACCTCGTATCGGCCATCCACAGCATCCACCTGATCCACAGCAATTGTAGTAAAGCGATAGTCTACACCAGAGCGCACCACCAGAGGGCGCTTGTGAATGGGATACACGGGGTGGTACATGAGCGGATGAGCGCGAATGAAGTTAACCGCTTCATCTGAGAACTCTTTTGTGGACTTGAGACCTGGTGTGAATGTGCCTCCCGGACACTGATATGGAAAACAGAGGGGAAGTCAATCAGACAAATGTACATGCTTCTGGGTTTTAAAGAAAACACCCTTTTATAGCCATAAAGATATCATAGATCCTGTAAGATGATAAGAAACACACAAGCTTATGCAATAACAAATACTGTGGGTGAAATTTCAAAATTTTCATAAAACTCAAGAGAGAAATTGAATGAATCTCACTGTTCCCGGACGAGGATAGGGAATCTTCCCTGTGTATGTAGTCCATTGGTAGTTGTGTCCGTGTTTATGTGCGAAAGGGCCATTAAAGACATTTCGGATGTCAGCCATTGAGTAGACACACACGGCTGAGCCTTTAAACACAGAACTAAGAGACAAAAACAAGACAGATGAGTAAAATATGGCATCCAGAAACAATAAATCATTTCTAAAGTAAAATGAAAACACGAAAAGAAGAATATGAAAAGTCAAAAATTACTATAATTTGACATTCTGTGTTGATCTGAAGGAAATATGTACCCAGAAGTTGAGAAGACGCCATACACCACAGGGCTTCGTTCATCCTGGTTGGGTTGGATAAACACGTCCCCTGGAGAGGATGAGAAAAGCATTTCAAAAGTGTGTCAATACTGAGATATTAAGTATGCATTACTGGAAATACAATAGTATTTGCTATATCTGAAATACTTGGCAGATTTGACACAAAAAGGCTATGAAATAAACTCACTCAGTTCATCAAAGAAGGTTTCCACCCCATCATCGCCCATCACAGAGCACACCAGCCTGGCCTTCAGAAAAGTCGTCCATTTGTTCACAAGTGACTTCTGTCCGCCCTCATCATTCTGTGAATAAACAAAAACAGCTTTTTTTTATTGACTGACAGAACTGTGAACTGCTTCCTGTGCACCTGCAGTTTCTGGTTCCGAGGCTCACCAGGCACACGCGGCCCACTCTGGCCAGCACACTTGGACTCGCTCCTGCCCCTGAGTCCAGACTCTTCTCACGGAAGAAGAAATAGAGTTTGTCGTCGTTCCTCTCGGCACTGTCAGGAATCTGTTTCATGTGAACAAATACAGGTTCTAGGAAATAAACAGAGTGTGCATGTAATGTCCATCCAAATATTTAAAGCAAACTAAAACAGCTGAGCAAATATTTATTGTCAGACTAATTACAATTATTTACCATTCAGCCACCTAGAGTCATACTGCTCTGATCTCACAGCTGGCCGGCTGCCCATGGTCCTGAAGATGCCTGGATCAGTGCTCATGAAGTCCACCGGCACTCCAGCGTACAGGTTTCCATCTGGATGCAGGAGCGGTGAGGAAAAGAAAAATAAATTCATAAGAACAAATGAAACCTACATGTTTCAATTGAATTGTGAAATTTGGTGAGCTGTTGTGTGATGACACATTAGACAGAATATTGACCTTTCGATAAAATCTGCCCTATTGCTGTTGATACTTTGTGCTTTACAGAACATCAGATAAGGATAAATTGTACATTTCATAAACAGAATGGTTTCCAGTGAATTATGCCCATGTTAAAGTGGTAAAATGGATTTTAATTATTTTATTCTGCATATTATGCATTTATATATGGGCTAGAATGAATTGGTGTTGCAAAGCATGTTCCTGTTTTAAGTTATTATTAAATTATGTAAAAACATGATTAGAAACTGCAACTCAAAAGCTTATCACAGTCAGCTATATACCTAAATGAATATGTAAACAAATTAGCACTAAGTTATTAGCAATGATTTACCCTGCAGCAAATGTAGCTGTCCTTACCAATATTATCATTCTGTTATGATTTTGCTCTGTTATGATTCTATTCCATTATGTTATGATTCTGTTATGTTATATGTTCTGTTAAGTTATGATCATATGTTATGTTATTTTGTTATGGTTCTGTAATGTAATGATATGTTATGATGCTGTTATGTTATGAATCTGTTACATAATGAAATGTCATGATTCTTTTGTTATATGTTATGATTTTGATACTTAATGATATGTTATGAGTTTATGACATATTATGATTCTGTTATTTCATTACATGTCATTTTTCTGTTATCTTATTATATGTTTCCGTTAACTTGTGTTATGATTCTGTTATGTTCTGCTGTTTTGGAGATTGTTTGATAATATGGTGAACTGCAACCGCTGCTACAGTAGGATTAGTTAGTGATGTGTTAAAGGATCAATTCCATCAAATCTTCATTAATCGTTTCTTACTAATCAGGGCTGCAACATTCTCCTGGTTTGGATCATAAGAGCATTTTCCCTTTCCAGAGTCCACATATCCAGGAACCAGTCTGAAGAGATAGTCCTGTGAAAATCAGAGCAGGGAAAGCATTGGTTGGGTTAAAGCTGGTTGTGTCTACATCGGAGTATAAACAGTATGTTTATGTGTACTGTACCTCAGCTCTCCATCCTCTGTTGATGAAGGTGCAGATGGGTTTATAAGCTCCTGTGCCACAGGTGTACAGGTGAGTCCTGTTCCACGGCTCAATCAGACGCACAAAGTTAGCACACTCTCCCTGAAAACACACACACACACACAAACAAACCACTGTTAAAACTGATATAGGTCATATTGATACAGTATACACGAGACCAAGAGTCTCACATCTTATTTAGCGAGTCATTTAGTACTAATTAGAGTGGTAGATGACAAGAACTGATGTAAACTCACATGCCTGCCTTTCCCAGTCATCTGACACTCTCCCTTTCTCTGAGCTGGAGCCGGCCAGTGGATCTACAGACATAAAACACCCACTGCATTATGAGAACAATTCACTGACACTTCAATTCTTCTGGGGTCAGCGTTTGGGTGCTAATTGTTATTTTGTTGTGAATGGAATTGATTCATTTGAATCATCACTTACAATGAGAGGCTCTTTGTTGATGTTTTGCATGTCCAGAGAGACCAGATATTCACGGCTGCCCAGGTACAACCGCCCCTGGTCTGGGTCAATGTGCAAGATCCGGTAATCACTGGTGTTGAAGGAAAAACTGAATGGCCTTGCTGTTCGAGTGTCCATAAGTTCTGGTGCACAAAAGAGAAGCACAGGAAATTAAAAAATAATAATAATAAAGAATCCTGTCCTACCTATTTTATATTGGTAATATTATACATCTTTTATATTGGTAAAATGTTTTATTATTATATTTAAAAATTTACATTTACTCCCAAATTGTCAGCAGCCTTAATTTCAGTTGAGAGAGAGAGAGAGAGAGAGAGAGAATTATATGTCTATTTTGAAATATCTCTGGTAAATATAAGTCAGATTACAACTTGTATATGAAATGTGCTAATATTGTTTTAGTTATTAGTTTTCACAAATATAAAAGCAGGCTTAGGCTTGAATCGTATTGTTAGGTCAGCCAATGCAACACTTTCTTTGTGTTTTATCAAGCTGAAATGAATGTAAGAGTGGGTTAAAGAGCTTGAGTCATTTCGAGTGTGTCTGATGAGCTTTTAAGAGCTGAATATTTTAAGCGCTGCCCTACTGGGTGACAGGGTGAGCATTCGAATGTAGCTTAAAACAAGCACACTGTAGCCTTTTACATTGCAAAGTATGTACCAAAACCTGAAACTACAAGCGGAAGACCAATTTGTTAATGAGCTTCGTCATCCTTCCCTGGACGATCATCCGTATGGATGTTTACACACCCATGGAAAAGTTTAAGCACAGGAAATGTGGGCATTTCAATGACGTTGTTATTGTTCTAAAAGTATCTAATATGTTTAAATGTGTGTTTACAGGATGTTCTAGAGTGGGTGCTAAAATAACTGCTAATGATCGGATATCTGATGGACAAGGAACTGGGTGGGCAAAAGGGAAAGGGTTTGTGTACAATCCTGTTCCCCTCTCTTCCCTTTACCGTCAGGAAAGAACACCGGACACGGCACCCCTGCCAAACCTGCAGTGGACCAAAGTGGACGCAGCACAGGGTTCATTACAATCACGGGTGAGAGACGCTGGTACAAAGGTGAGGTTAGTGATAAAACATCCTGCAGGGAGTCTTTGTTGTGAGAAGAATTCAACAGGGACTTAACAAAACACAGTCTCGTGCACTTTCAAACAGATATCAGTTTTAAATATAACAAAACATTAAAATAAAATAAAATATATTTTATATTTATATTTTACCTAAGCTGAAATATAAATTCAGAACCTTTTATTTACCAAAGTGAATAAATTATTAATATTTCTACCAATATTATGTAAAAAAATTAATATTTTAATTACTTTTTTTTTTTTTTTTACCAATTTGCCACAATATCTCTGAATTATAATAATAAATAAATAAAAAGGTAATTTTCAATAACTTGGTCATTTAATCAGCATATCATAATCTGAATAAATTAACAATATCTTTGAATTATACTAATAAATAAATAAATAAATAAATAAAAACGTGATTATTTAATCAGCATATCATAATCTGAATAAATTATTAAATTGATCAACAGCCATAGTAAATTGTTTAATCATAATAGGGTAAGGTTACACACTGGACGCATATAGGGCCATTGTAGAATATCAAGTTCCTTTCACTCTTTCTGCCAGTTTCTTGCAGTGTTCTCAGTCTCTAGTTGGGTACACTTTCTAGAGTTACACAAAGACCTTCCCTCATCTGCAGGCGCCTCCGAAACAAAGACCATCCCGGTGGCAAACAATGAACAATCCATCTCAGATAACAGCAGAAAATAGAGAGGCCAATGAGACAAGTGGATTTTTCCGCCCAGCTATTCTTGATGTGAAGGAGAAGGGTGGTGGCGAGGGTTAATCCTGGAAGGGTGATCTTTCCTGATGGGGGTAAAATACATTGCAATTGAGGAAAATGGGAGGGCAGAAACCTACTGGATCAGAGCCAAAGAGTTTCGGTGGAATTACAGGGACGGGTGATGAAAGACAAGACGAAGCTAACAATAACTAGTTAGATCCAAATTTCTGAGGGCGTATAATTCAGCCCAGTCATCTCTTCAATTAGGTTTTATCAGGGCACAAGCAGGAGGAATATGAGCCCGGGGCAATGGGAAATATGAAACATGAGGTGATTGATATTTGGAACAGCTTTTCTTTCTCATGAATCCTGCTAACATCATTATGAATTTCCTTCAAGGCACTTTTAACCCATCTTGATTGGATTGTTTGTGAAAAACAGAGGGGTCAATTGAATTCTCTAAATCTCAAGTGTCACTGAGAATTGAGGCATCAAACACGGTTTACTGTAAAATAGAAGAACCTCTACTTATTGGTCATGAAGCAGTGAATGTTTCTTTATTGTCATTTGTCAATAACAATCATCAGACCATTTCACGTCCCATCTCAAAAAATGAGGGATGCATCAATATTAAAATTCTGGCTGATAACCAGCATATAACGAACATAAAATTTTTACTATTTTCCCCAAAAAAAACAAAAAACCTGAAAAACAACTGTTTTACAAGTGCAAGTGATTTCAGACATTAAACTATCATGTACAGTGTGAAAATGGATTTACTTAAAGGGATAGTTCACCCAAAAATGAAAACGATATAAATACTGTTCAGTTTCTTGCACAGACCGATCGTTTTGTGTCTTTACACATCAATGTATCGTCACGAGCCGCAGGGTTTAATTTGGATTTGTCTGTGCATGTTTTTTTTTACTCTCATAGATTTTGTTACCATTGCCATGCATTATACGACTGACAGACTGCAAAGGTTGGAGTTAAAAATCATCATATGTGTTCTACTGAAGAAACAAAGTCACCTACATCTTGGATGCCCTGGGGGTAGGCAGATAAACATCAAATTTTCATTTTTGGGTGAACTATCCCTTTAAGACTACATTTAACAATTATTCAATTCTTTGTTTGAAAAGATGAACTTTGAGTGTTAGATAACTGCAAAAGTAATCAAAACATACAAACATGGAAAATAAGCATGCAATATTAACTGATGCTGATAAATTTTGTAAAAAATTATATTATTATCCTAGAACCAATATGGTACCAATATATTGTGCATCTCCACAAACGATAAGATGAGATGAGAAGTTTGAAAGAATACGTTTGTAAATTCAAGAGATTAATCGGTCAATTTCCAAATAGGGTGTAATCTTCAAACAGGTCTTGACACATTGCTCTTGTTCTTTGCGTTTACACACAGCAAAGGAAAATTATTCCTGAAATATCCTTGTCATAATTGCCAAATGACCTAAAAATGACTTCTAAAAATAATAAAATAATAACCGCACCAGAATATTTAAAGAAAGACCAACAAAGGTAGCTTTGAGTGCTAACTCAAGTAAAGTAAAGTCAGCTTTTTATGTAGGTCATAGTTATTGTACCATAGCAAAGAATGAGGCCCCACAGAAATAGCAAACTAAAATGCAGTGACTTGGGGAAAATGCGGCTTTTGGAAAAAGTTGTTTACACTCCGGCTGGTACAACACAAACATATCCAAAATTGTGTTTATATTCTTGTGGGATGCTGTATTTTGATGTTTACCGCTGTTTTTAATCTCAGGGTAGTTTCGCAGGGTTACAATCCCACATACGTGAGAGATGGGCCGCTCTATAATCTTTGGAGTGATTATGTGGGACCTCTCTCCACCTTCAACTTATTCAGATGAAATGCTATATGAAAGGATTCCCCTTAAGTGATTCACACTTTTAATGCCTGTTTACATCAGGTATGTGTTAAGCAGGCCATATTTCAACCTGCTTCAAAATTGTAATTAGAGGGCCTGTGTAACTTGTGGATACCGGTGTATGTATTAGTTGCACTAATGTGCGTATAAAGTAACTACATGCATGTGTATGTGTTTGTCAAGAACAAGGGTGACAGCTTGACAGCTGACAATGACTATAATTGTTCAAAATGACTTTGATTTAGATCTCATATATGCTTTGAAGACGTACAATTATGAGAGGAGGATGCTGGGAAAGAATCTGTGGGAATATCCCTAAACTTCTCCACAACAAGAGTTTTGTGTCAAATTCCCTTTAAAAAGAAAGAGATCAGAATACACAAAAATGTAAACCTCATATATTGAGTTACAGCACTGATTCTTGAGACAGCTATATATGCTGTTAGTTTATATAGTAGTAGCCTACTATTTTTACTGTAAAAATAATCAGTGATTATCAACAGAAATAAATGTAATATGACTTTCTCTTTATCAAAATTATGACCCCCAAAACCACCTATCCTCAAGACAGTAACTCAATACTTTAAATCTAGTTAAAGATAAATATGAATGGAATGTAAATGTCTGTTAATGTGTACTGAGGTAAAGAAAGTAAAAATAAATAATTGTCAATAAATATACTTTTATAAGATGTTCTACATCTATCAATGCAGTGAATTAAAGAAAAAAATGCTCAAAACTTACTACTGCATTTAATGTATTCATGTGAAATGCAAAATATGGTTACTTTGCCATCAGCTGTTGACCCTGTGAGATTTTCTGTCGGACTGTGGTGACAAATTAACAGATTGAACAAAAAATCAGAAACCATCCTGTAGTCTCAATCCTCAATTGACAAATGCTAAGTGATAGCTAAGTAAACATTTCATAAGAAATAGGAAGAAGCAGAAGAAAGACTTCCGAACATATTTTGATTAATCCACAATTACGCTTTGGTACTTCAACTGTTATTTTTGCATTCCTATAGAATGTTTTGTCCGATTAATCTCAAATTACATTTTGTGGTGCACATAACTGAGGAACGTTTCCATTTAATGGTAATTCACAGAGCCCCAGTCACACTACATTGCATTATCTCATCTTAAAATCCAGGAAATTACAAATATTACTGAATTTTTGAACAATAAACAATACACAAGATTCAAGGGTTCTCTGGAATATGCTCCACTGAGGACACCCACCCAGATCCAGCACGTTCCACACCTCATCCGTGCTGACAACAGCCACCATTTGTTTTCAGCCAAGAACTACTTGGCACCGACAAGGAAACTATGCAAACACATGTTTATGTGTGTGTGTGTGCGTACATAATTAGCTATAAAATTGCTCCCTAAATCTGACAAGGCTTTCCTACATCCAAATACATTCTCAACTAGAAACATGATTCATACATAAAATATTGTTGTAAAAATACAAAAGGTGCATTCCAGTTTGCATACTTTTGCACTATTATATGCCGTTTTGTGGTATGAATAGCGTGAGTAGTATATTCACACTGAAAATCCCAACAAGATGTGCAATTTAAATAACTGGGTGATGCACTTATTTAACCAATAAAATATAGAGTGGAATGTTGGGTACCTATTGCACTTAAGCTTTAATTACATAGCAAAGGGGAAGGGGCTATCAGACTCTGATTCTGGAAGACAAACTAGCTGTCTAAATGTCATATGCTAGACAGTAAAATACATAGTGTAGAGCATGTCATTTGGGACACAACTAAAATGTTTTCTTCAAGAGGAAGGGTGTGGGTTATGGTTAGTCTATAGCATTCTGTATATAACTAGCTTTATATAACAACAATAGAAGTCTGGGATGTCCTCATTTACACTAAGTGTGTACGGGCATGTGGGTGTATGCAAAAGAGAAAGAGAGAAGCTGAGTGTTTGAGTATGCATAGACAGGTAATGAATAATGTTTGTTCTCACCTTTAAAAGCCAGGTGTACTCTGGGAGCGGAGCGATGTGTGCAGGCCACTTCAAACACAAACAAAGCCAACAGCAACAGGAGGAGTCTCGTTTCCATTACTCTCATAGTTAGACCCATTCGCAGGCAATCTATACAAACCCACACAAAAGAAAGAAAATAAAACAAGGTAAACATAGGGAGAAAAGCATGAGAGAGGCTAAATTTATCACTGATTTCGACAAAGGAAGAGGCTGAAATGACAAAGGAAGAACAGACGAAGGGCGAGAGGAGGAAAAAATAGCTTGGAAATGAATGAGAGATGAAGAGGAGGAAGAGAGATGGAGACAGTTCGATTTAGACAGACAACAGAAGGAACAGAAAGCAAACATTACTACTGTACTCTACTACTCGGTTGTATATTTAGCTTTGAGTTTTAACAGCCCGACAAATCCCAGCCTGTCACACCTTCCTCTATTCAACTCCATGCAAAGATAGAGGTTTCAGGCCTGCATTAGAGGGTCAGCATTTATGCAACATGGTGTCAGTTTTATTTTAGGAAAAACAGGTGCCGTTAATCATCTTAATCCACCCAGTGCAACTGCACAGACTGATTTGAGAGTTAACAGATTATGAGCATAAGAGCTGTGGTTTGTGACCAGCGTACGAGGGCTGGAACGCATGCAGGAGTGGCATAATAATCACAGATAAAAGAGTAAAGAGTGTCCATGATAAAGAAAAGAAAGAATTTTTATTTATTTATTTTTGAAAATGTAACCTTTGTACTTGTGTTGGTTTCATATGGTTTTGAAAACAAATTAAATATTAAATCTAAATAATTTTAAAATATACTTTTCAAAGTAAAAAAAAAAAACGTATCATTGAGAAACTATTACTACTAAAACAGTAGAACTACTACCATTATATATATATATATATATATATATATATATGTGTGTGTGTGTGTGTGTGTGTGTGTATGGTCCTAGAATCTGATTGGCTGATGAGAGCCGTTTATATATATTAATTCATGAAATCATGAAATAACATTTCTCATATCGTGGTCATATATCACAAACCCCCCATGAGAACCATTGAACCATGAGAAATCTGGTCACCCTAGTTATGGCGGACGCCCAAATCCATTATAACTTTAAAAATAATACTGTTTTTGTGTCAACGTAGTTTTTTAGGCAAGAATGTACTTGTTTAGACTTCAAATATGCATTTTGTTAATAAAGATAATGTCTATTTGAAAATTTGCTTCTATGTTTTCAGAGATGTGAGCTCCAGGGTGTCATCAGCTGTTCAGTGCTCATGAACCCACCGAGCCGTCGGCTCTGATGTCTCTATAGTGGTTAAACATGAGATGTAAATATATTAAAATAGAAAAAAAATTGACCCAGAAATCACTGCTTGTGATTTAGAGCTTATGGGGCCATGTGCCTGGGAAAAACTGGAGGTGGCAAATCACTGGAGCTGCTGCAAAGCCCCGTCACGCTGCTCATTGTTATAACTTGGAAGATCTCGCTGGAGTCCAGGGCTGTGACTGCTGCCTCTTTTAGATCAGTTTCCATCAGGCACTGATCCTGGGCTCCTGTATATGACATCATCAGCTGGCCGGTGATGTATGTGAGTGATGTCAGCACAGCAGGCACTCGCATACTTGGGATTTGTATGTCCATACATTCTCTTTATTGGAGATCCATGATTAAATCAGCTTAAATCCAGATTTTTTATTAGCACTTAGAAGTACTACACAACACATGTGTGTACGCCACAGCTTTGCTCTCGGCTGTTTTGCTTTAAGGCAAAAGTTTTGACACTAGGCAACTCGCTTAATCCCTTTCCACAAACTCACGCGCGTACAAAAACACAAACACTGGTCCAGGCTCGTGCCAGCTGTCACTGGTTCAAATTCACATTCAAAGTGCATCTAGGGGCTTGTCCAGGAATGTACTACATGTCCAAACTGCAAGATGACATAGAGAGAGTGAGAGAGAACTGTAGATTGCATAGAAAAGTTGGTAAATGAGAGCAGAGAGTAAAAAAAAAGGAACTGGAGATGGTTATCTCTCTGTATGTTCATGTAGATGTGTATCATGACTCTGTAGACATCAGACTGGGATCATAGCCACTGTGTTAGTGTTAGACAAGAGCAAAGAGCAAAGAATTATTGGTCTGAAAGCTGCAAATGCACATTTATGATATCGGGTGCTCTTGTGAAGGACTACAAAAACCAACAAATAATTGATATCATATTTTCCAGCTCAAAGCGTCCTCACTTTTGAACCTGATTTCAAAAATCCTCTGATGTTTTACTGTGTTTCACTGGCTCTCATTGAAACTCACACTCTGTGCAAGATCAGATTTGTCTTATGTCTCCTCTCCTTCACATATTCAACAGCATCAGTCACTCAGGTGTTCTTACATGTTGGTTCTGGCACTGATTTGAGGGGAAAGAGTAGGAAGCACAGACTTTAATTCACTCAAATACACACACACAGAGCACTGCTATACATCTAACCTAACAGGATAGACAGATAGATAGATAGACAGACAGACAGACAGACAGCTATAGATAGATAGATATAGCATTTGCATGTCTACATCACTCAAGTAAACTGTTAAGCGACATATTTGCTTATCTTATTAAATCTTGAGTGGAACTTCACAGGTGTAAACTGTTATACTTTCATGTTAGCATGCATTATGTATCAGTCATCCTCTACCGGAATGGCCAGCATATGAATTATGGATGTTCAAGCGCAATCTATGACGTCCATTAAATCCAACTCCAACGTGTCTGTTTTTTCCCCTTTTTTTGTGACTGACAAAATGTCAGGCTTCTGTATCGCTCTTTTTAAAAGACCATATATATATATATATTAGGTATATATATATATATATACAAAAAGGGTATAAAACAATCAAATATTTACAGAACGTCATACAAACTGTAGGGTGATGTTGGAGTGCCACACTAGTTGACAATTATGAACAGATTTGATAGGTCTGAGTTTGCTAAAGTGGGCAGGACATAAACATTTTGCTTCTCATGTTAGTTGTAACTTTTCAATTATAAGCTTTATGTATTTATAGGAAACTTAACAATTAAAATGAAGTAACAATGAATTGTAAGCTGATTATCTCTATAAAAATTTAATCTGCAAAATAACATTATTATTTTATGCAAAACTTTATGAACTGTCATTTAAAGGATTTTGGTCCCTTTCTTTAAAACTGTTCATACTGTATAATACTAAAAGAATCAAGTTCAAGCTTGGGTGTTACATTGTATGAATGCAGTAGCCATACATAAAAATATACTTACACACACAACCACCACACAAACTTATGTCAGTTACAATTTTTTAAATTTCAATTCATACTGCTCTAACACACAAATGTTCTAAAGTATAAACTGTTGAAGCACCCATGCACACATTTAAATTAGAAGATAAAAGAATCCTGACCGAACACACAATGAACTATCTGGAAAATGTGCATGCAGGCTATAATATTTCTGCTCTGGATGCACCCTAAATTCACCAAAGTCAATGTACCCAAATCCTCAAATAGTGCATAAACTAGGGATGCACCGATACCGATACTGGTATCGGTATCGGGCCCGATACTGGTCTCCTGTACTCATACTCGTACTCGTTAAAATGCCCCGATACCAAACGCCGATACCACACCGGGCGAGTACTGGAAAAAGTGGTATCGGTGCATCCCTAGCATAAACCCTAGTTAAATCATTTTATCTCCATAGTAGGCACAATTATTGGATTATATTTTCATTTTCCTCCATGTAACATTAATTAAAATACATTTTAAAACGTAGCATTGTAGTATTTTATTAGCTATATGATAACGACATTTATTGTGATACATAAGGGTATAAAACAATCAAATATTTATATAACACAAATTGCAGGGTGATGTTGGAGTGCTTGTAAAATGTACCTGTAATATTACTGCAAAATGTAAACACTGTTGCTATGATTCGCAGGTTCGCACAAACTTGCATCTTTCTACTGTCATCCAATAAAATAAAATAAAATCCTCTACATTTTTTTATCATGACCAGTGAATTCCCTGTCATCTACCTAAGGCCAAAACACTCTCTTATGACTTTAGGAAGTTTCCGATTGTTTTATCTCGAAAGCGAGAGAAATGCTGTATATTCACCTTGATTCGCTGGTCTTGTGTTTTAGTCGGTCTGTTGCTGCTCCGTGTATTTGGTGTTTTGAGGCGCAGGTGAGATGTTATCGTTACATTCCTAACCGTCTCTGTGAGCACAGCTCGTGCCTTACTGAATTTCTGAAATCCGTCCAAACCCTTCTCATAAAATCATAAGAGCGTTTATAGCTCTAGCCTTTTGAATTCTCACTTTTGGGGCGTGTCAGTCAGTCCAAAAATCGGCGATAAAAGTTGCAGTTTGTGCACGTAATTCCTCAGGATACTTCTAAGCTCTTATCCCCCAGGATACTTCTAAGCTCTTATCTAGACAGTTGATGAGATAAAGGCAACAAAAGTCAAGATGTGTTTTGCAGTTTGCGTGACAATATCTCCAGCGTTTGCCACTTTGAATACAAAACAGAAGATGTGTTCGTCTTCTTGTCACGTAAGCTCCACGCTGCACGTCTCCTGTTGAAAGTCTGCGCGGTGGCAGGTGTTTGGTTTATTCCGCCGGTGAAGCGTCACGGTCCAGCCCCCTCAGCACTGCTCCCAACGAACCGCCTTTAACCCTGAAGAGGTCGGGAAAATGCAGATATGCAACACATAATAGTGGATAATGCCACATTAAATGTTGTTTACATTTAATACATTTTTAGCATATGTATAACATATGTATATATAGTCACACTAGTCCTATATGGGGTAGTATAAACAGTGTTGGGGAAAGTTACCTTTAAAAGTAATGCATTACAATATTGTGTTACTTCCTAAAAAAGTAACTAATTACGTTACTTCGTTGCTTTTTATTGAAAGTAATGCGTTACGTTACTTTTGCGTTACTTTTAAAATATGGGCTGGGCTTGCTTGTTTGCTTTTAATATAAAAAGTTCTATTTTTGGCAAATGTAAAAGCCTTTCACACCAAAAGCCTAAGGCTGAAGGAAATATAAATTCAAATGGGATTAAATACATAAAGGATATTTGTATTATTTAACATATTTAATTATTGCAGCTTTGAGTCATATTCTGAGTTGCTTTTAACTGTTTTTATTAATTTTGAGGAAAACTAAATCAGATATTTTTTTTTTTTGGTGAGTGAGTGAGATGAATTAATGCATGTTCACATTTATTCTAGAACTAAAGCAACATCTTACTCCCGATTTCTCTCAATAAGGGGAAAGGAGAGCTTTCAATCAATAAATGGGAAAAAAGTAACTGGCATTACTTATTTGAAAAAGTAACTCAGATATTTTGTTGTAAATTAAAAAGTAATGCGTTACTTTACTAGTTACTTGAAAAAAGTAATCTGATTACGTAACTCGCGTTACTTGTAATGCGTTACCCCCAAAGACTGAATATAAATATGAAATATGAAACACACAACTATTCAGAGGTCAGAAAAATGCAGATATACAACACGTTGCATAATGCCACATTAAGTGTTGTTTACATTTAATACATTTGAACGTGTGTGTGTGTGTTCAAAATTTCACACTAGTCCTATATGGGGTAAGCTGTCACAGTGATATCATATATAATAATGAAACACACAACTATTCATAAACCAGCAAAACATCAAAAAAAAAATCCAAAAGCCAACATCCAAATATATAATATATATATATATATATATATATATATGCAAAACCGTATGTGTGTGTGTGCTCTCCCTAATTGTTTTTATAATAACTTTATTGACCTAACTTCTTGAATCTTAATTTTAAAAATGTTTTAATCCTGTATAAATAACATTTATTTCATGCCATTGTTCAAAATGTACAAAGGCGCCAGCAGTTCAGCACTGTTGACATGCTGACATTGATATGAAATCGATGTGGTCTATCCTGCCCGTCTGTCTCGCCTCATTAGATGTGCACATCACTAACTGCTGTAAACAGAGTGACAGACAGTTGTCAAGCCGTTGAGCAGGAGACCCACTGCAGTGCATTTGTGGTGGATCTGTTTGTCCCGCCAGAAAGTGTCCTGAAATTCCCAAAGTTCTTTTGTGTCCGGCTGCGTGACTCAAGACGACGGTGGCAAACACAACGGAGGGGGTGGGCTGGGTGAAAGGACGCTCTCTCGCACAAAAAAACTTGCGACTCAGTATTTTGGACACAAAAGGCTCTTGGTGTGTTCTTTCTAGGGCCTCTGACACTCTGGCATGCATTAGGACGCCAGTGCTTAGACTAAATGTGTTGTACATTGCCTTTATATATAATTCAAGAGTCAGTGGAAGGGTGTGTAAAAAGTTTTACCATTTCCTTTTCAGCTGATTAAAAAGACGCTGTGCTTTTCATGACATCACACAATGTGCCCTTTTCTTATACTGCTGCGGATGTGGAGGTGGTTTCTTGTCTTTCTCTCTCTTTGTGGGAGGCATCCTTTATTCTCCTCTGAGAGGAAGTGACTCAAGTCGGCTTTAAGTTCAGGTTTCCGTGTGATTTTCACCCACAATGCAATAAGCCCTACCAGCTTCACTATCTTCCATTCAGCCCCACATTCTCCCACGTCAGAGACACTTTACACAGTCGGCAGTTTTACGACCACATCTACACAAACCACTGAATCACCTAAGAAGCTTAATTGCCTAATATATGAGCTTATTTGGTTTAAGTGCAGTAAAACCTCAACTTGATGAGAAAACACCACACTGGTGAAACAACATGATGTGGCATGTAACAGAAAAAGAACAAGTCAAATAGGTCATGTTTTGAATTGGTACGCACCCTGTTTTAAGTGAAAACACTTTCTTATATTCTAATTTACATGTAACCTTTGTATCTTGCATGAACATGCTGCTATGGCAACTTAAAAGTTGATGACCTACAGCTATATATTTCCCTTTGTTACTAACTTTGACAGACCTTTTGAGTGGCCGTCTCATGTTTGTGAAAGCACAGAATTTGAACTCTATCCTTTGTGTGAAAGAGCACATGATTTATTCTACTTTAAACTTTCATTGATTTGATACAATGTGCATTGTAAAGATTGAAAAAAGCTGTATTTTAATTTTAAAGAGCTCAAATGCATTTGGTCTACAAAGAGCATCACGTTTCATCATACATGGTCAGGAAGTCAGCAGGGTTTTGTCTTTCTTTCTCTGCAGTGTATAAACGGGGATTTGCAGGCTCAAAGCAAGAGTTACAACAACAAATTTATCATCATGAGTACGTGGCGCTCATCAATCCAGGCAGCGCTTCTGTGAAACGCTGTAGGCTATGTGTAAGCGCAGGTTTTGAGTTGGGGAGGGATTCATTTTTTAAAGTAGACTAGTGGGTCAATGACATATAAGAGTTTCCACAATAAAGAGAAGAAAAATCTTTTATGAATGTACTTTCAAATATGGCCTTGATAAGTTCTTAAAATGCACTGTTTGTATTCATGTTGATTTTACATGGTTTATTCATTATTTAAAAAAAAAGTTTTTAAATATATTTTTTCAGGATATTTTATTTGTTTGTTTGTTTTATATGTATGTATGTATATTTATATATTCATATTTATTTATGTGTGTTTATTTAAATTCAAATACATGCATCATGAATTATTAATTCACAAATATTAGATTTGTATAGTCACACCACATTTAACAACTCGAACTAAACTTGTCTTGTCATAAAAAGGTCAGATTATCTGATATTTTATTTAAGAGACTTATTAACCTTAGCACACTGTTTTGAGGGTCCACAGGGGTCCTTTCCCACATATTTTGCCTGTTCATTGGACCCCATAATTTGGTGGACAAAAGGTTTTCAGATAATAAGCAGTTAAGTTGTTTTGTTAAAGTATTTTATCACCTGACATGTTTTACTTTATGATGCAAGAACATATTAAAATGAATTTTAATTCAGAAAACAGTATTGTGCGTATCCTATAAGAGTTAGATGTTAATATCATTAGTAAATATACTGTGCAGCATGATGACGAATTTTTGTAGGCCAACCAAAATGAACCAGTGTGATGCTAACTTATGGTAGCATCACACTGGTTCCCTTGACAAAACAGGTTCCCTTGATTTTTCCATTGGCTTTTGGATTATCACCGGAAGTGTTAAAATGCTAACTCGTTTCCAAGTTTTGGCCTACAAACCTGCCTCGTCCATGCAGCACTCTATTGTATTTTAATGTATTTTCATGTCATTGATGTCATGTCATTGACCCTAGTACCCTCTAACTCCATTAAAACAACATATGTAATTTCCTCACAACAGGATAGATTCCCGCACGAGTCAGTATCCTGGGTACACCTGGTGCTAGTGTAACCCCTCTCCCCCAGGTCCACTCCGCCGCACCTCGTTCTCGCTCCAAGTGGGTCTCCGGCATGGGAGGCGGACGCACTAACAAGGAGGCTAAATGGCTACAGCCACTAGCGTCAGTCGCTAGTGCGTCTCTTGAGATCAGGGGAGTGAGGTTTACCTTGCACAGCACCTACTCGCTGGCCTCCGTTACACTAGCCTCCAAAATGCAGAGAAAAGGAAAGTAAATCCATGGAAAAGTTGAAAAGCTGGAGGGGTGTGGGAGCGTAAAGTACATCTGTCTTAGGAGCTAAATCTGTCAGCACCTTAGCCGCAGCCCACGGGATGCCCAGGATGGATGAGCGTATAAGCGGCCTGCCTCATCAAAGATGGATGCGGTGCCACGAGATTTTGGGATGATAAAAGTCCCACTGAGGTGCCTTTCCTTTTTTTCCAGTACGCTCCAGTTTCATCTTGATTGCAAATGCAATCGCCCGAGGCCCATTCGAAGAATGGGTAATGGGCAATTTATACAAAAGCTGAGAAACACGCACACAGACTGTGTTTACTATAGTCAAAAAGGAAGTATTTTTGATGAAATAACAGAATGCAGAAATAAACAGAATTCAGATATGCATGTATACTCATGTCGCCACAGAGCGAGTCAAAACACATATTGGAAGGCAGACGGGTGGAAAGAGTGCAGGGAACGCCTGAAGGCTGCGACTCCTGCTGCCGCTGGTGATCTTTAAGATAAAAACCATTTATCTGCTTGCCAGGGCTGTCAGAAGTCTGCTAATTAGCTTTACCATTCATCTCTCTCTCTCTTTCCTTCCTTCTGTCTTTCACACTCTTTCCATTCCCTCGCTCCCACCCTCTTCATCACACTCTGTCTCTGTCTCCTTCACTCGCTGACCTTCTTTCTTCTGTTCCGCCAGTTGCTTTTGACTGTTTTAGTATAATTGATTGACCCGCAGTGCATATTTAAATTACTTGACAGATTATTTTATATGACTTTAATATGATCTAATGTTATGGTTTGGTATTATGGATGCTGTATTGGAATCTTTTTTTGAAATTGTAAAGGGTAAAGATGGTTTGAATCAAGATCTCTGTTCTTCACCTATTCTGCCTGACAAAAACAGTGAGTTATAACTTGCATGAGCAAGAGTCTCAAAGCTCCCATGGTCAACAACATGGAAATAATGTATATCATTAATTCATGAATTT